TTACATCGACTCTGGCAGCTCCAGCGGATTGCTCTGATCCCTAACAATTTTGCGCATTATTTTCTGGATTATTTCTCGATATTCTTCTATCCTCAAAAATGCTATCACTACCGAAGTCATTTTATTTTTAATAATCTCAAATGTGTTAATATCAGTAAAAAAAATTAAATTGTATTGCTGGGTTTCTGTTTGCACAAGTGTGATGACAGCTGATTCGAATATCGGTTTTTCTTATCTTCGAAAAAAGCAAAATCAATTCGATTTCATAACACCATTTCAAACAGATATTGATTTGAAATTCCGATAAATAAGCAGTTATGTGTCGGTTCCCATAACACCCCCGATTATTTTCCCTTTTTTTTGCATAGAAGCATCAGCAGAAACTACAACGCAAGAATGTCTCTCGTGCAGCCAACAATGATTTCTCCGAGCGATACGGTGCTGAAAATGTCAAGCGTGCACGAAGTTAAGCGAGACAGTCACCCGGAAGGCGTGGCCGTGAGGTGATATCGAGTTTTGGTAGGGTTTATTTTGAAGCACAAAGTTTTATAGAGCACTTACATATATGGGAGACCGGTCAAAACGGAATATAACTGCACTTGTAGTATTGCAAAATTTCTACTAGATCTTTGTTCTATTTGCCTTATGCTTTTGGCATTAGATTGTGTAACCATTTCCGATTTCGACAGCACTTTGGGTGAATCAAAGTATGACAACTCAGGAAAAGCCAGCACAGCCAGTTCGCATTGGGACAAGACGTTTAGAGTTTATTGCTGGAGATTTCACTAAAGATATCATGATACGAAACTCTATATCTGTAGAGAGCGCTCTAAAAATTCTCGTATTTTACAACACTATACAAAAGTGCCACTTCGATGAAAAAGTTTCCATTTTGGATTTTCGGAGCATTTTTTTGGCCTTTTTGTTCTAACGAAAATGAATATTTTTGAACATTTACAACTATACACGGCTGCAACAAACATAATTAATACTTTTTCATAATTTTAAATTTGGTATGCTTAATGAAAATTTTCTTGATAACAAAATAGATTTTCTGACGGAACCGGTGCGTTCCATTGTTTACTAAGTGTTACTGTTATAGGCTTCTTTACGATCAGCTGTTCAAAGTTCCTTTATGTTATCAGACCAGAAAAATTATCGAGACACGCATTTGTCTACATTTTTTTCTCAATCATTATTTTATTACTTTTTGGGACGCTTATCTACTAATTACAACATACTTCAATTCTTAATACTTTTTTTATAACATAGAATTCCCAATAAGTTAGTGAGCGAAATGCTCTTTTTACCCTTTTACGATAAGTTTTTCAACTTCGTGTGAGAGTAAACATCGAAGTATGCCTTACCTGAAAGTGAAAAATTAACCAATTCAATAAAACATCCCACCCCTCCTTCCCTTCTGGTTGAAATTTTCTATTCCAGACTCTCCTTGAAACCATCTTCAATGTAAATTCTACTTAATGCAAGAAGATTTATCGAAATCGAGCTACGTGACAACGGAATATACGGGATTATATGTACAGCTTTGGCCAAAAGTATTAGGCACTCCTCTAAAATACATGTGGCTATCAAAGTTCCCACTTCTTTTTGTAAATGTCTTATATGGGTGTTTAACTGTCCATTAAACGAATAAATTGTGTGATATTAAAAGTCATAGCACTCGGGGTAAGCTGAACCTAAAAATTGCTATTTTTAAAAAATTCAAAAACATTTTCGCATTCAAAATTTTAAAGTGAAAGTGTAAATTACATTTAATGAAAAGTTACCAATTTTATAAAAACAGTTCATATTTACCGAAATGCCTAAAAAAAGTGAAATTACTTGCGATGATAGAGTTAGAATTCTAAGTTCTAGAAGTTCTAAGTGAAGATAGTAAGTCTCAGTTTAAAACCGCCAACTTGTTGGGATGTTCGCGATGCGCGGTCCAATGTGCTATCAGGCAAATTGTAGAGACGAAATCCCACAATAATAAAGCAAAAAGTAGAAGGAAGCGCCTAACCAGTAAACGAGAAGACCGAATACTTATACACGAGTCTCTCTTCTTCTGCCCTTGCGGCTGCCCTTTCGAATGAATTTAGTAAACCAGTTAGTGCTCGAACAGCTAGAAGAAGACTTCTGTAAGCAGGCTTAAAAGAATGTAAAGCCCGAAAGAAGCCGTGGCTCTCAGAAAAGAATAGGAAACATCGTTTGGAATGCGCTCGCCGATACCAATATTTCACGGATGAAGATTGGTCGAATGTTCTGTGGTAGGATGAATCAAATTTCGTGGTAAGCTTAGTTAAGATCGTCTTATAGTATTAGCAGCCATAGCTTCTTACCCCATAATAATACAAACCTTATGAAAAATTTATTTTTTTCTTCTCTGCAGATATTTGAAACACCTGGTGTGACGTTCGTGAGTCGACGGGTTGGGGAAGAATATCATCCAGATTGCGTGGTACCCACTGTTAAGCATTGAGGAGGCAGCATTATAATCTGGGGCTGCATGGCTGCGGATGGTGTCGGCGAAATGTTCCTTTGCGAGGATCGCGTGGACAGTCAAGAATACATAAATGTATTAGTAGCTGTTCTTCTGTCTTCGTTAACTCGCATTTTCGGCGAAACTAATTTAGACGGGGTTCAATTTCAGCAAGACAATGCTCCTTGTCACAAATCAACGACTATGATGCGTTGTTTAGAGATAACAACATTGTTTTTGTTAGATTGGCCTGCAGAGTCTCCAGATCTTAATCCCATTGAGCACATGTGGGCTTTTTTAAAACGCAAGATTAAGGAACACAGTATAACATCAAAAACTATTTAAAAGAATGTCTTAATTAACAAGTGGTACGCTATAAATGCGGAAGAATGTTATTAAATCAAAGGGTGGACCTACTAAATATTAACGCTATTATCACTAATTCATTGTATTTTCACTGTTTTATTAATAAAACTTCGATACTTCACTTTTTAAAACAAAAATTCAGTAATTAGTGGGGTGCCTAATACTTTTGACCAAGGCTGTACGTTGAAATCAATGAATTATTACCCATTTTCTAACCCTCTGATTAACATTTTTGTCCAAGTTTCTGCGGCAATAACTTCAAAGTATGTCCTGTCCAAAACGAAATTAATGAATCCGCCCGCACTTTCTTAAACCTCTGGTTAAATTTTTTGACTGGGCCAATTTCAAGTTATACCCTCCCCAATAAAAATTTTATTATTCAAGTCGGAGCACTCTGATAAAATTTATGCGTGGTCATACATAAAAAAAATTATACACAACAAAATGAGCACCTTCCTTTTCGTCGGCTGTTTAAATATCTTAAATCTGTTTCCAAATTATCTGTAAGCAGTGGTCAAAAGAACTTTAATCAATGCTCTAATGGGATTGGTCTCCACATTTTGAGGATGTGCAAGTAAATTTAAATTCAAATTAAAGTAATTTCCTCGAAGATTTTTCCAAGATCATTATTTATTTTGTTTAATGTCGGTCTTAGCTCTAAACTCTTCATAATTATATATGTATGTCACAAATTGAGGTTAGTAGCTCTTTTCCAACTCATTTTGATTAATTGTTTCTATGCAAATTATTTTTTAAAAATTCGCTTACAGTTTGTCTGATTTTTCACGACACACACTGTGGTTTGGAAGCGCTTCACCCTGACAACCTGTGCAACAGCTAGCTAGGAGGCAACAACCGACCAATAGCACTTGACTTGTGTTGCGCTGCAAGTGAGGTGAAAAATTACGATTTTTACGCACAATGACGTGCGGCAAGCACAAACGTTTTAGCAAAAGCGCCAACTTGGAGCTCTTCGATGGTGTTTGTGAGTAAAAATGGGCATGATGAAAATATATGTACGCATAATAAAAATGCATATTGTGATTTCACATACATATAAGCACCACTTCATTTGCCGATGGTGTTATTATGAATGTCTGTCAATAAGTTTCATTTTCATTTCATATCGCACGGTAAATACAAAACTGGCTCAACACAAATTAGCAAAGAAGATATCTTTAAGGGCTATAGGGGCAAACAAAGAATCGACGCGTTCGCCTCTTGACTCTCGCATGACAGTCATAACTTTGATGTTGTAGATAATTTCGTCTATCATATCCATATCGTACTGACTAAACAATTCAAAAGTAACTTCCTCTCTCGACGAACGAATACCAAACTCTATAAGTCGCTCGTCCTTTCCGTTCTGCTATATGGTGCGAAGACATGGACGATGACATCTTCTGATGAGTTTACGAGTCTACGTTAGGAGTTTTCAAGGAAAAGTGTATGGTCTTCTACGTGTTTGGAATGGCGAGTACCGCACATGACGGAATGAAGAGCTGTACGAGGTACATATATGGTGACATTGATATAGTTCAGCAAATAAAGAGACAGGGACCACACTGGCTAAATCATGTCGTCGAAATGAATAAAAGTGTGCCGGCTTTGAAAAAATTCGATACGGTACCTACCGGTGGAAGCCGAGGAAAAGAAATAGCTTCGCTCCGTTGATGAAATTAGATAGAGAAGGACCTCGTTTCACCGGGTATTTCCAACTGGCGCCAAACAGCGTAGAATAGGAACGAATGGAGCGCCTCGTGATTCGGTTATATACGCGTAAGCGCGACCCACAGCAGACAGACAGAGTGTAGATTTTCTTTCGATATTAGGTGATTGTTTTTATTTCATTTGCCCCAATAGTCGAGTGGTTAGCATTGCGTACTGCCATTCTTCCAGTGTTCAAGGACTCGTTAATTGCTTCATTGCGGTAGCCCATCGGCAAGGAACGTCAAGCCTTCTGAGTGTATTTCGGACATGAAACTAAAGTTTCTCCTAAAAATCCAATAGCCGTTCGGAGGCGGCTTAAAATGAACTGTCGGTGCATCTATTTGTTTTTATTTTTTTTTTTTGCATTTCTGAATATTTTTGGAATTTTCCGAGTTGTGTCAGTTTTGCATTTATGTATGCATCTTAAATGTTTCAATATACTTACATGTATGTATTTGTTATGTGTATATCTTTGCTAACCCGCTGCTGTGTTGCATGTGGCAAGCAGACAGCCTGCCACTTGGCGCACTTGCTTAATCTCTGCTGCTCTCAAAGCGTTGATGTATTGCTGAAATGGAAATTTTTAAGGTTAACCATGAATTTGCAAGGCGTCTTCTGTAGTGTTAAAAGCAAAAGTAAAAACTCAACTAAAAAAGAAATACAACAAAAAATTAGTGGATAGTCAACTGACACGGGAGAAAGTGTGTTCAGTAGTTAGTGTCTAATTTGCTGCGCCAGCTACGAAGCCAATTTATTATGAGAAGTATGTACACAGTTATATTATTGCACGAAATGGCAAATTGCAATTGCCAACTGACAGCTGACAGATGACAACTCTTTAGAATCTGTGCCACAATTCGAGCTGATTAATGACGCCAAAACGAATGGAAGGAATTGTGCATTTGTATCTCTCAAATATCATTTTGCGAATTAACACACTTGCATTTATGTACACCGAACACCGCACTTAAATTTGATATTTTCTGCTAACAAAATACAGAGATAATTCAAAGAAAGCAACATCATACGCCGAAATCAATTAGGAGTGCGTTTCATTGCATTTCATTGTTTTGCTTTAAAAATCAATATTATTTCTTTGTTTATCGTTTAGTTTTATATTTTTCACTCTTCCATAGCCCCTCCTCCATGATTACTCGTTTATTATTCAACTTTGAGGGGTGGCCATAAATGGCTTCGCCGGAATTGCATTGTGCGAGTAGCGAATGAATGCGTCAAATTGCCATAAACGTCAAAATGTCGGATATGTGCTTGCTGTGCCAAGATATATTTATTTATTTTATTTTGCATTACTATTTTTGCCCATACATTTCGCTCATACGTGTACGTGTGCTCATTGGTTTCTATATTTGCACATATGTATGTATGCATGTAAGTGAACAGTACATACATAGAACATCCGGTTGGAGCTACTTTGGTGTTTCTTTTAAACAATGCACTTTACTTTGGCGTTAGAGAATATTCATCTTGTTTTTGTATTTTTTTTTCTGAATTGTACAGCCCATGTGTAGAGGGTTGGAGTAAGTGCAAGTGCAAGTTTTCTGTCTCAAGAAAAATTTTAAATGCGTTTTTGAGAAATTTATATTTGTATATATAGATATTTTTTTTTTACAAAGTTGGCAGTTCAGAAATTAGGAAAAAGTAAATTTACTGTAATTTTCCGCAAAGTTAGAAAGCGAAGGTTTGCAGAACTTCTTTAAGGGGTTACATAGATCATGAAGGCCATCAAAAAACCGCCGTCTTTGTCATGGCTTGACCGATGGTGAAACTTTAATCGCGTTTTTCTTAAAAATCAAAATTATTTGGAAAGCAAATTATTGCGAGAACTCCTATAATTAATTGTCAATATTTCAATGAAAAAAACAAAAAAAAATTTCTGAAAAAAAATTTAATTTTTTCTACGTTAAGCGAATGTTTTTGCTGCTGTTGGGGATTTCAGTCAACATAGCTGTTTGATCATCAGCGCTGCTACTCCCTGCATAGGTGATCTAATCACACTTAGTAATGCGTAATTATAATTTTTGAATTGCAATTAAGTTTAGACATCTCATACATTTACCGAAATTTAAAACAAAATACATATGTAGGAACATACATATATACTATGTACATATGTATTACTGGAACGAAGTGCTTGTGAGAATAATGAGTATGTATATTCAGTATAGTATAGTACTACTATATTTGTATGTATTTGCTTATTAGTATTAGGGTGATCGAGCTTTTTGTGGATGCAGTAAGGTTCTTCTTGATGATTCACAATCCACTGGTATGATGGCCTACTCTGTATATGGTCAATTAGGTGGTAACCATATGCAACATTTGATATTCTGTTAAATTTCAAACTAATAGCATTAGGTAGCAACTCTCTGTGTCTATTCTCGAAGATAGCACCTAAGTAGGTATACACATTACAAATTTTATTCGAAATCATTAGAGCAGTTTTCGAAATAGATCTGTATATATGTAGAAGAATATACGAGTAGAGCACACTCCGATACAACAGTTTAAGGGGTTACATGATGAAGAATTTCTTATATCTTTGATTTCAACTCATTTTACAAACCAATTTGTGGCCTAATTTTATGCCAAAAATGACGTTTTTTTTGTAAACAACGCTACAGAAATTTCAATTTTTAATTTCTTCCATTTTTCTTCGTTCAGGAACAAGGAAAATTCACCTACTTTAAGAAAAAATTTGGATTTTTGATTACAGATAAAAATTTAAAAAGTTATCATGACTACCGCGAAAGCACTTTCTTGTGGACGGTCTACTTCACGACACTGCCAACGCCTTAACTTCAACTATTTTTCATTCAAATTCTCATCAAATGTGGTTCACATATTGTACTGTTATATGTAAACAAAATAAATTCTATACTTTATTTAGTATCTTTTCAAAAAAAATTAGAGAAAAAAGGTTTTTTGGCCTTCAAAACCTATGTAACCCCTTCATATAAAAGATATCGCTGATCACTACTAATCAAGGTACCGCTAGTAGTATGATAATTTCTAATTTTCGAAAAAAAAAACAATATTGTTTTAAAATATTTCAAAACCTCACTAACGGCCACTTTGTTTCGAGCAAGTGCATTCACATTTCAATTATTATTGTATTATCTATCACTGGGGTCATTAGAAAAGATTCACGATCGACTTGATCGACTTGAACGCCAACGGCAGCCAGTCAATTACTGCAAACAATTTACAATCAACAAACATAGAAATCAGAATAATAATGAAAAAGTGGCAATAATTAAAAGGTGTGCAAATGGCATGGCGAATTGCGCTCCTCAAGGCGATCGCGCAATTGATGTGCGCTCAGCAAGGAGAACACTTTTTATTTGAACTTATCAAAGATATATACAAACACACATAATATACATACATATATATGTATATATACATACATAGATAGTAATTATGGGTAATTTTCGTTCTAATTGTTGTTGTGGGTAATTAACTAAAAAAAATCAATTGTTGTTGCTTCTTTCACACTCTTTTGTATTGCATGATTGCATAATATTTTTTAATTTACTTACATGTGCATACATACATACATATTTGTATTTGTGCACGACATTCGGGTGAAGTTCAAATTCGATTGATTGTAACAAAAGCAATTGTGTTGATAAAAAATTGAAAGCAAACAGGTGAGAAATAGAATCAGGTACTTATATGTAAACGAGTACATACAGCCTTGGCCAAAAGTATTAGGCACCCCACTAAAATAGAAGTATTCTCAAATGTGGCTATCAAAGTTATCACTTCTTTTTGTAAATGTCTTACATGGGTGTTTAACTGTTAATTAAATTAATGAATTGTGTAATATTTAAAGTCATAGCACTCTGGGTAAGCTAAACCTAAAAATTGTAATTTTTAAGAAATTCATAAAATATTTTCGCAGCCAAAATTTGAAAGTGAAAGTGTAAATTGCATTTAGTGAAAAGTTACCATTCTTATAAAAACAGTTTATATGTACCGAAATGACTAAAAAAAGTGAAATTAGTTGCTATGATAGAGTTAGAATTCAAGTTCCAAGTGAAGAAGGTAAGTCTCAGTTTAAAACCGCCAACTTGTTGGGATGTTCGCGATGTGCGGTCCAATGTACTATCAGCTGATTTGTGGAGACGAAATCCCAAAATAACATATCAAAAAGTGGAAGAAAGCGTCTAACCACTAAACGAGAAGACCGAATACTTATACGCGAGTCCCTCAAGGATCGCAAAAAATCTTCTTCTGCCATTGCAGCTGCCCTTTCGGATGAATTTAGTAAAACAGTTAGTGCTCGAACAGCTAGAAGAAGATTTCTGGAAGCAGTTTTAAAAAGATGCAAAGTCCGAAAGAAGCCGCGACTCTCACACAAGAATAGGAAAAATCTTTTGGAATGGGCTCGCTAATACGAACATTTCACGGAAGAAGATTGGTCGAATGTTCTGTGGTATGATGAATCGAGGGAAGCTTAGTTAAAATCGTCTTAAAGTATTAGCAGCCATAGCTTCTTACACTAGAGCAATTTTGAGGGCATAATACAAGTCTTATGAAAACATTATTTTTTCTTTTCTACAGATATTTGGAACAACTGGTGTGATGTTCGTGAGTAGACGGGTTGGGGAAGAATATCATCCAGATTGCATGGTACCCATTGTTAAGCAAGGAGAAGGCAGTATTATGATCTGGGGCTGCATGGCTGCTGATGGTGTCGGCGAAATGTTCCTTTGCGAGGATCGCATGGACAGTCAAGAGTACATAAATGTATTAGAAACTGTTCTTCTGTCTTCGGTAACTCGCACCATTTTCGGCGAAACTAATTTAGACGGGGTTTGATTTCAGCAAGACAATGCTCCTTGTCACAAATCAACGACTACGATGCGTTGGTTTAGAGATAACAAAACTGCCTTAAAGAATGCCTTAATTAACGAGTGGTACGCTATAAATGCGGAAGAATGTGCAAAGCTTGAATGCAGCATGCATAAGAGAATTGCTGCCGTTATTAAATCAAAGGGTGGACCTACTAAATATTAATGTTATTATCACTAATTCATTTCATTTTCATCATTTTACTAATAAAACTTCATTACTCCACTTTTTAAAACAAAAAATTCAGTAATTAGTGGGGTGCCTAATACTTTTGGCCAAGGCTGTATGGGTGCATGCATGTATTTCAAAGTCGCGTCTACGACAAAGTGTATAGCATTGCTTGATCTCTTTGACATTGTAACAATTATATACAAAAATTATAAATTTGAAAATAAATATTTCAGGAACAAGTCAGAGACGCGCGAGCACTTTATGCTCACTTTTGTTGAGAAGAAACAAATTATAATTGCGTAAATTAAACTAAAAATAAATATGTATGTATATTTATTTCACTCACTAAAAAATCATATCACCATAAACAAAAAATTACAATTAAAGAAGATTTAATTTCACTTTCGTCACGCTGCTGTGGACTCACTGTCAAGCAACATCCACCTCCTCTGCCTTACAACGGCAAAGTGGTTATTCATTCCTCTGCCAGCTAAAACAATAATATACATACATACATAG